CCCCCTGCTTCCCTGACCCCGAGCCCTGCCCCCTGCTTCCCTGACCCTGAGCCCTGCCCCCTGCTTCCCTGACATTGCTTCTGCTGCCTCGTCCACCTGGGGGTCTCTGTGGTTGGGTGGGCTGCAGGAGCATGCTGAGCGCCAGAGCCTGGCTCAGACAGCGGGGGGCCTGGGGTCTCTGCTGTCTGCTAAATCCTGACCATCCCTCCTGCGAAGCCCCCGTTCTGATCCCCAAACGCCGACCTGCCGTACCCGCGGGCCCCGCCGAGGGGGCAGCTTCCCACATGTCCCTTGCCACGGCCCAGCAGGCTGGACTGAGGTTCCGGACCAGGAGCTGGAGGCCGGGCGGGCCGCCGGGGTGCGGGGTGCGGCCCAGCTCCCTGCCCGTCCTGACCAACACGCTCTGTCTGGCGTCTGGCGCCTTTGGAAGGGGCACGAAGCTCTCCCTCTCTGGCCCAGAGCACCCTGAGCCCCGGTCCTACAGCAGCCTGACTCAGCTGTTACGAGCAGACCCCGTTCCCCCTGGCACCCCGGGAGTAGGGACTGTGGGGTGCACGCCTTGAGATCCGCGGCTGGCTTTCAGTCCTCTGCTGCTGACCCCAGCCAGGGCCGTCCAGCCCATGTGTCCGTCCTGGAGATCTCTGGGACGGCGGGGGGGCGCTGTGGGGAGGTCTCCGGCCGTGCTCCCCTGTGGAGAGAGGGCAGGGTCAGCTGCTCCTCAGACTGGGGGTGCCGAGGGGGCCAGGAGAGCCCCCTCCTCGCCCTGCCCGGCTGCCCACCCCGGAGCTGCCCAGCAGCCGGCGAAACATTTACCGAGCACACCTGGGGGGTTGGTCCCTGTTCTCAGGGGCCGTGGGGGAGGCGGAGGCAAGCCCAGGCGGGAATCGAGGGGGCAGTGATGCTGGCGGGGCCTGGGGCTGAGCCTGCGGAGGGGGAGGTGGCGAGGGGGCTGCTGCTAGCATTTTTGGGCTGCCTTGGAAAGAAAGACACACACTCTCTTTTTAACCTTTTATTTTGAGGTAACTGTAGACTCACACGCAGCTGTGAGAATGAGTCAAGAGACCCCTGGTGCCCTTCACCTGTCCTCCCGAAGCCACCGTCCGGCCCGCCGTCCCCCCGGACGCGGACCCTGGCGCCACCCCCAACCCCTGCCGCCTAGCTCGCCTGCGCTGCGGGGAGCGGGTGAGTGTGCATCTACAGGCACGCACTTTTCCTGGTGCGTGCAGGCTCCCACACCCTCCACCATAGTCCAGATTCGTGGGGACCCCCCTTCAGGCCGCACCCCCTCCCCACCCCTAAGCCCTGGAAATCACAGAGTGGTTCTCTGTTTCTGTGGTTTTCGAGACTGTTGGGCCAAAGCAATGGTAAAGTGTCACTTTTTGGGGTTGGCAGCTATCACTCGGCACCGCCGCCTTGAGACCATCAAGCTCCTTCCCGTGCACGCCGAGCCGCGTCCCGAGGCGCGGGGACCACTGTGTTCAGCCGTTCCTCCACGGGGCGCGTGGGGCCGTCTCCGGGCCGGGGGCCGTGAGCACGGCTGCTGTGGGCGTTTGCCTACAGGTGTTCGTGGGCTCGTTTCCATATTTCCGGGATGAATATCCAAGGGGCAAGCACTTCTCCCCCACGAATGGATGAACCGTGGACTAGTGGGAACTCTCCATGTACCCACAAACATGGGGCGCGGCAGGGGTCCTGTGTCCCAGCTGCTGAGGGGGATGGGGGTCACCGCCTTCCACCTCGCGCCCCTCCCGGAGGTGCCGTGGGGTCCTCGCCTCTCAGAGGAGGCCACTGTGGAGGGCCGGTCCCCGGGAAGCGTGGGTGGGGGGTGAGCGTCACTGGGACACGGCTGGCCCCTGAGGAAGGAGGACAGCTCAGAGAAGGAAACTGGGGGCCGAGTGGGGCCCCCCAAATATGTGCATGTTCCAGTCCTGGCCTCCAGAACCTGTGGGTGTGATCTTATTTGGAAAAAGGGTCTTTGCAGATGTGATTAAGGTGAGAATCTTGAGGGGCGCCTGGGTGGCTCAGTCGGTGACGCGTCTGCCTTCAGCTCGGGTCATGATCTCAGGGTCCTGGGATCGAGTTCCATGTCAGGCTCTCTGCCCAGTGGGGGGCCTGCTTCTCCCTCTGCCTCTACCTGATGCTCCCTGTGCTTGTCCTCTCTCTCGCTCTCAAATAAATAAATAAAATCTTTTTAAAAAAAAGGTGAGAATCTTGAAATGAGATCATCTTGGATTATCCAGTGGCCCCAAATATAGTGACAAGTTTCCTTATACGAGGAGGAAGAAGAGAGACCCAGACACAGAGCAGAAGCCGTGTGAACACAGGGGCAGAGACTGGAGGTGCGGCCACAGGCCCAGGGGTGTGTGGAGCCTGTAGACGCTGGGAGAGTCTCTGGTAGGAGTGCGGCCCCACCCCCTTGACCTCGGGCTCTGGGCTCCAGAGCTGGGAGGAGTGAATTCTGTGGTGATAAAGCTCGCAGTCCGTGGCCAGTAGTTACGGTGGCCCCAGGACATTGATATGTGTGCTCGGACGCTACCACCCCAGAAGGCACGGGGAGGGATGGGTTTGCAGAAGCGGCCCCACGCCTGCACCCAGCTTCCTCCCACAGCACCCTGTGCTGCCCCACCGGCCCCCCCAACCCCCCACGAAGCTCACGCACCAAAAGGCCTGGGCGGGTTCCTCTACTTCTTGTATTTGAAACAGGTATCTGGGAAGACAGAGCTTGGCTCTCAGATGGAGCCTCACCGGGGTCTCCATCCCCCAGCCCTGAGACCCTGGGGCTCCCTGGAACACCCCTGCCCCAGGCCCTCCCGGCCCAAGGCTGCTGGTGCAGAAGGTGGTGGGGCCTACTTTGGTTGCTCAGGCTGATGATGTTCTGTGGACCCAGTCCGTACTTTCTGCAGACTTTTTCAAATCTGTTCAGGAAGCTGGGACTCAGGTTCGGCACCCGTCCTGAGGACAGAACAGCAGGAGCTGGGGTCCCTCACTGCTTGCTCGGGTCGGTGTGCAGAGGAGGTCTCAGGGGGACTCGGGCAGTGCCAGGGCCGAACGGGGGTGCCCTGAGCAGAGACAGGGGCTGTGCCAGGTGGGGGTCCCCCACAGCCCACGACGTGACTTGACCGTGTATAGACAGGCAGGTGGGAGCCTCGTGTGTGGCCCAGAGGAGGGGGTCCCCCAGGGGCCTGGCCAGCCTCCCCCCCGGCAGATGGGAGGGGTCAGGAGGTGGTACCATAGAGTGCCAGCACGTTGGTGTCTGTCCCGTTTCTGATGTTCCGGAGATGGAAGGTGATGTACAGTTTATAATCAGTCTCCAACAGGAACACCTTATTGTCGCCTTCATCTGTGTGGAGACTCGGCTCAGAGCGGCCCCCCGGCCCCTGCCAGCCCCCGGCCCCCACGGGTTGTGCACTGGCTGTGCTGTGTGGTGGTGCGCTGGTGGCCCTTGGCGCGAGGGGGACGCCACCGGCAGAGGTCCCTGGGCATTGTTGGTAGAACAGTGCATGCTCAGGGGAGGGCGCACCTGCCTCCCTGGGGCCCCGGGCCAGGCCGGGCCTCTCACGGCACGGTCAAGCTGTCACAGGGCCCCGTAAGATGCCCTAAGTCAGAGCTCACCAGGAGACGGCCAAGGCCCTGAGGAAGGGGAGCGCGCTGCCGCCAGCCGGGGAGACACCCGTGCACTTACAACTGACCGCGTACTCGCCGTCCCTCTCTGTTCTCTCGCAGACCATGGCCACCTGCACGCACTCCCCGTGCACCCTGAAACCGGCGGGGGTGATGTCGGGCAGCCGACCCGCACCCCAAGCCCGACCCCAGGGTGCAGCCCTGCCCTCCCGCTCTACAGGGTGGGGGAGGGAGGGACACCCATCCTCCCCAGTCCTGGCTGAGACGGGCGGCACGCACATGAACAGGAAATGGAACCTCAGTCCGCCGTCTTTCAAGCTTTCAATATTCCGTATGAAGACCCTCAGGTCCCCATTTTCCTCGATCCGCTTCATGTCATCGGACGCCATGGACACTGAATACCAGACCCCCGAAACCTGTAGACAAGGCCCCAGTGGGCAGGGAGACTGGGTGGCAGCCCTGGCACTTCTTGGTGCCTCCTTCCTGGGGCCGGGCCCCTGGGTGTATGGCTCCCAACCAGGGTCCTTCCCTCCCTGCCCTCCCAGGGTCCTCCCTGCCTGCCCAGGGACCCCTCTGCCC